ACGCACCTATAACACACCTGTGCAGGATTACAGACACACCTGTAACACACCTGTGTCACACACCTGTGTTACCTGCAGGGCCGGTTGATCCCAGGTGCGTACAAGTTCGACGCACTCATGTAACACACCTGTACCACCTGTGTAACGCACACCTATAACACACCTGTGCAGGATTACTGACACACCTGTAACACACCTGTGCACACCTATAACACACCTGTCCCCAGGGCCGGCTGATCCCAGGTGCGTACAAGTTCGACGCGCTCATCTAACACACTTGTGTCACACACCTGTAACACACCTGTGTCACACCTCTGTCACACACCTGTGCAGGATTACTGACACACCTGTAACACACCTGTAACACACCTGTTCTCCCCAGGGCTGGTTGATCCCAGGTGCGTACAAGTTCGACGCGCTCATCTCACACACCTGTAACACACACCTGTCACACACCTGTAACACACCTGTGCACACCTGTTACCTGCAGGGCCGTCTGATCCCCAGCGCATACAAGTTCAACGCGCTCATCTCACACACCTGTCAAACTCCTGTGTCACACACCTGTGTCACACACCTGTCACACACCTGTGCACACCTGTCCCCCTTAGGGCCGCCTGATCCCAGGCGTGTACAAGTTCGACGCGCTCATCTAGCACACCTGTGTAACACACCTATAACACACCTGTGTCACACACCTGTGCAGGGTTACTGACACACCTGTGTCACACACCTGTGTCACACCTGCAGGGCCGGTTGATCCCAGGCGCGTACAAGTTCGACGCGCTCATCTAACACACCTGTGTCACACCTGTAACACACACCTGTGTCACACACCTCTGTGCACACCTGTAACACACCCCTGTAACACACCTGTGCACACCTGTCCCCCTTAGGGCCGGTTGATCCCGGGCGCGTACAAGTTCGACGCGCTCATCTAACACACCTGTAACACACCTGTAACACACTTGTGTCACACACCTGTGCAGGATTACTGACACATCTCTCACACACCTGTAACACACCTGTTACCTGTCCCCCTTAGGGCCGTCTGATCCCGGGCGCGTACAAGGTGTGCACATCTATATGGGATTAATGATACACCTGTGCAGGATTACTGACACACCTGTAACACACCTGTAACACACCTGTAACTCACCTGTTCTCCTCAGGGCCGGCTGATTCCCAGCGCGTACAAGTTCGACGCGCTCATCTAACACACCTGTAACACACCTGTGTCACACACCTGTGTCACACCTGTGCAGGATTACTGACACACCTGTGTTACCTGTCCCCCTTAGGGCCGTCTCATCCCCGGTGCGTACAAGTTCGACGC